TGTGTGTGTGTGTGTGTGTGTGGTGTTTTCAGCATGATGAGAAGCACTTAGACGTCTATATTTAGAAAACAACCAAAGGAAATGTAAACTTTTGACCATGATAGTAGTAGCCAGTGTTTTACCAGGGCTAGACAAAAAAATTATTAGAACTCTACTGATTCACATGTCAACACTCTGATCCTTTGACATCTTAACATCATGTATTATCATGTATTATCTTTTTTAACGTAAAATCTGTCCGTAAGGCTAACCTGTCATGAGTTTGCCTTTTCTTACCAAGGCACCTAGTAGTTCTACAAAAAGCAAGGCATAACTTTCATATATGAAATGGACTGACCAGGTAGCTGCTGCTAAACTGAAAAAGACAGTTGTCCATTAACACCACCAAGACCTGAAAATAAATTTAAACAGAAAGTATAAAGCAAATGACCTGATTCAATTAAAATGACAAATGCTGTGGAATAATCCTTTTTGTACACTGTGAATATGTATTACTTTCATTGGTTTAATAAAGAGCTGATTTGGACAATAGCTAAGCACAAAGAGGTTGGGAGGGAAAGCTAAACAAAGAGGAAGCTGGGAAGGAGGGCAGCATCAAGAGGAGTCACGAGCCAGAGCAGAGGAAGCAGGAGGTGAACATGCTGTTGTGAAAAGGTTACCATCACATCACTGTAGAGTACAGAGAAGAAATAGGGCTTAATTTAAGATGTAAGAGCTAACTAGTAAAAGCCTAAGCTACAGCCAAGCATTTATAATTAATAATAAGTCTCTGTGTGGTTACTTGGGAGCCTGACAAAAGCTCCTACCGACAGCAGAGACTTACCAGCTACCTGGAACTCCCTGGATGGTTACCCTAGGTTTCTCCATGGTGATCTTGTTGATCTCTGGGAGCAGAGGTCCCAGGATGGCACTAGGACAGCAGCAGTCTTCAGACATTACATAGGACTCTTTGACTGCCACACAGGGCAGCATCGGTCTTTGTCTGCCAGACCCAGAAAGTCCAAGAGACTTTGCTGTAGATGAGGAACTTGAGAGACTGGCACCTTGGGTGAGGCAAAATGAAGAAGTCAATTATCTACTGGCCTGTTTGCCCATATTTTGGGCAGGGTCCTGACAGTAAGAAAGGCATGTTGCAGTTTTTCCCAGTGGTTGGCATTCCCATAATCCAGGTGAGGTTATTAGGAGCTAGAATTCTTGTCTATCACTCAAAGCCTTTTTGTTAACTGAACATTTTAGTACCATATTCAGCAGGTCTCTGAATTTTTTCTGGGCTATCTATTAAGTATGCCTGATTTTAAAGAAATTTTACTTGTTTTTAGTTACTTGTGTACTTGTTTTAGGTTTAACCTTAAAAAGATATACAGAAAGCTACATAAAGCTTGTCCTGAAAATGAATTATATTTATACTTAGCATGACTACAAACATAGTTCTGCATACTTTAAAGAATTTGATCTTTTATAAGGTGACTTACAATTAAATTTTATGTCCTACTTATCTTTAACACTTTACAGCAAGTTAGCAGCTTTTACAAGATTTGGATTTTACAGTTTTATCCCTGTTAAATTAACCTTTTTTCCTCAGAATGTATGGGATATTCCCCTGTCTCTCAACACATACACAATCAGATCCTCAGAGAAAGAAAGTTTACATTTCAGCACAAGAGTTTTGAATAATCATGACCTTGAATGAGGGAACATTTTTTTGTAGCCATTCTAATTTTTATATAGATCCTTTTGATTAAGAAAATTTCATAACATGAGGCATAATAGTAACAAATAAATTTATCATTTGTTTTAAGAAAATTTTCCTAAGGGGCAGTTAGACAATATCTGGAGCCTTTACTCAGTATATGTAATAGCTTTCCCATTGCTACATAGGTGAACATCCTTCATACTGTTAGTAGTCTTCACAGATTTTAACCATATGTAGTAACTTTACAGATCTTAAGGTATAGAAATTTATATAATAGTCTTACAAATCTTGAGATAAGTTTATATTTTAGAGAGTGAAATAAAACCAAGAAAAGGAGTATGAGATGGACAACAGTAGTTTCTATTGGGAATAGTCTACTTTTTAACTGTTTTAAAGCACAGAGTGTCTTTTCCTAAACTGTCCTCTCTCCCTCTCCCTCCCTCCCCCTCTCTCACTCTGTCCTAGAGTCAGATGCCTTTTAACTTATGACAGAGATTTAAAGAAACATTTTAAACAAGCATGCTTGAGTCAGGAGAGGAAGGACCATAACCCAACTCCAGAGCCAGCTTTTTAATAGAGTAGAACAAAATAAAATGATATTATCCACACCTAAAAGACACTTGAATCCCTGAAAAACTCAATAAATCGACCAAAGGGAGGGATGAGAGCAGAGAACAAAGAAAGCTCAGACATAAGAGATTTCACAGGACTTAAACAGCAGGCGTCACTGACCAATGAGAGAGACAGAGACTGAGCAAGCTCCAGGAGCAAGCTGAGAGACAGAACTGCAACAAAAATAAATACAAACAGTAATAATCAAACAAGCAAAGGCTAGCCACCATGCTCTCAACTACCTAACACAGCAGACTGACAACAGAGGGTGTCCCAGGGTAGGGAGTCATTAATGACATACAACCCTGGACTTGAGACCATGGCTGATCACCCAGAAGTACACATTCACCAGAATTCAGAAGACTAGACAATACACCATGCTCTCAACTACCTAACACAGCAGACTGACAACAGAGGGTGTCCCATTCACCAGAATTCAGAAGACTAGACAATACCGAAGGCTCAAGAGGGTCAAATAGGGCATCCATTAAGGAGAGAACAAAGCCCCCAAATGTTGTAGTCAGGCTGTTCTCACCCAAGAGGAGTCCAGGACAAGCTCTTTATTAAGTTTCCATTGAGGCATACAGACTAACCTGAGGCACACACTCTTGTGACTACCAACCAGTCAAAAGAGGTGTCCCTGGGCCAAGCAAACAAGGGGTTTGTTTATAAGGTAAAATCCACAAGTTTGGTGCATCCCTTCAATGTTGTTTGTGATGGCTGTTAGCACACAAAATAGGATATTAACTTTTATTGACAATAGGGCACAGATTTATACTATGGTGTTTCTGTCTGAGCAGACATCAGAAAGCCTGGTTGTTTCAGAAGCAGAGCAATGCAGGTTTGAAAATTTTCCTGCAAGTACCCTTACATGCCTGAGGTCAGTCTGACCTCAGTCTTAGCCTGAGGTAGGATCAGGATTTAGCAAATATGTTTTGGTTTTTCTTTTTTTTTTTTTCACTTCACCAGTACTTAGTTAAAAGCATTTATTTAGAAGAATAGCTTTCTGAAAGAGCCTTTAGGTTTTCTAAGTAAAGGACCATGTCATTTGCACATAGCAATAATTTGATTCCTTACATTCTTTTTTAAGATTGTATTTTTGACCATGTCATTTGCACATAGCAATAATTTGATTCCTTACATTCTTTTTTTAAGATTGTATTTTTAATTTATTATGTATACAACATTCTGCTTCCATGTATATCTGCACACCAGAAGAGGGCACCAGATCTCATAACGGATGGTTGTGAGCCACCATGTGGTTGCTGGGAATTGAACTCAGGACCTCTGGAAGAGCAGTCGGTGCTCTTAACCACTGAGCCATCTCTCCAGCCCAATTCCTTACATTCTTATTTGTATCCCTTTTATTTCTTCCCTGGTCTTGTTTTGAGTAAGATATTGAACCTTATATTGAATAATAGTGGAGAGAGTAGAAACACTTGTCTTACTCCATATTTGGAAGGAGATGCTCTCAATCTGTCCCTATTTAGTACAATGTTATGTATAGGTTTTGTCATAGATAGCTTTTATTTTATGGAGTACTTGGAGAAATATTCAGACTTCTATAAAGGGTTGGCAGGATTCAGCAGGGAACACATCTAGACCCTGACTTTTCTTGCTTAAGGGGTTAGGGAAGTGTAGTTGTTGTTAATGATTCTGGTGTTTTAAATCTTATCTACTATATCATCTTGATTTAATTTTGGTAGCTCATATGTGTCTAGGAATTTATTTCTTCCTTGTTTTCCAGGATTTCTTTTTTCTTTCTTTTTTTGTTTGTTAATTCTTGGGGAATTTCACATCATGCACCCCGATCACACACATTTCCCAGTCCTTCCAAGTCCACCCCCTTCCCTTGTGATTCCAACCTCCACCAAAAACAAGTTCAATTTGTGTTATCTATACATGCGCTGGAGCATGGTCAAACTCTCAGTGGCATGTCCCTTAAGTAGAACTGAGCCATTCCTCTTCCATACCCCTACAAGACACCACCAATTGTGCAGTGCTAACTTCAGTATCCTTATGACACTCCCTAAGAGTTCTCATCAATGACTTCCAATCCAACAAATATATGAAAACACAGTGGTATCAGAGTACTATGTACCTCTGTGTTGTCATTGAGTAAAACCACACTTAATATTTACATTCATTATATGTATTTAAGAATAAATCATATGCTTTAACTGGATGAATGAAATTTTTGACAATTTACTGTTTTTTTAAAGTTAGATCTCCATGAGATGGACCTGATAAAGCATGTTTAGTATTTCAATCAAAGAAGCTTCTTTTACTTTCTATACTAACTTGTAGAATATTGATACATTCTCAGATCAAATTTCTTTATAAATAAAATACCCATGAGTCTCCTTAAAAAGCAGGGGAAAGTCTATGCATTCCATCTATACGCTGTGGCTGAAACTTTTAGTAGTTTTCCCAAGTATAGCCTTCCAGGTGGCTAAGACTAGCCATGCCATTGAGCTCTAGCTTCCAAGCCTGGCTTAAAAAGCTTTTCATACATTTTCTCTTTTCTCTTCTGCTAGCCAGATGGCAAGCATACATGTATGAAGAAAAATTATACAGTATATAGCCACTAAAAATCAGTGTTCTAATTGTTACTTATAGTTACTGTCACCTGAATGTAAACATATACAATAATGAGCAATCTTCCACCTGTCGTTATCAAATGTTTCAAACTTACAAACTGAGGCTTGTAGTACGCTGGACCTATTGTGTTATCACTAGCAGGTGGTGTACGTCTCAGAATACTGTCGTCATCATTGAGATGATAGCCGTGTGCCTTTCCAGGAGAGGGAATTGAAGGAACATCAATGCTTTTGGAAACTGCAGGTGTTCTACTAGAAATTTTCTTTAAACATAAAATGTTTGTGAGGAAGACATTTTATGTTATTCAGAGACAAGAAGAAATAACAAGAGCAAAAAAGTCAATCATTAAATATTGACTTAATGAATTACATAATATTAACCAAAAATGTCTTATAGAACTAAGTTGAAGGAGTACATTGAAGTTTCAGCACATGTATAGACTAAGTCATAAACACTAATAAAGCTACTATAAAAAAACAAACTTACTCTCAACTTAGATACTTGTCTTTCTTAGTAAAGCAAATAGTACTTATTTTAAAAAATTAATAAAGGCATTCCTGCAGCAACACCAGAAAGTGTATGCTTAGTTCCTTCCTTTCGTTCATTTTCCAATATTTCCAGCCTTCATTCTAACTTGTACACATGTGCTAACTGCACAGGCTACAAAGCAGAAAAATGCCTATGAGATGATGCTAAAGCAAATGGAAATGAACCAAACTCATTTATGAATATGGTGAGTATCAGATGTAAATACAGCAATAAAATTGATGCTTTAGTTCTGGAAGAACTATCGAAAAATTGACAACCTTAATATTAGGACTGAGCTTTAAGTTGGTTTACTCCCATGGAAAATAACTTAAATAGAAACAGGAGGCAGTATTATAAATTAGAAAAAGCATGTATCAAACAAAACATGGACATTTAAAAGGAGTTAGTTGTATAGAAAAGATAATGTGGGATTATATTGATCCCTGTACTTTCTAGACAAACAAATAAACACACTGGTGTCTGCACCCATGTACATGCACAACTGTGCTATAGAAAAACTGCCACTACTAGAAATGTTTGAGGCCATAGACATATCAACTAAGTAGTTTTAGTGGCATTTATGAAAATAATTACAAAATTAATACAAGAACACATTGAACAGCTTTCCTTCTATTTGGTACTTTCAAAAAGGACACATCAAAGGTTTCAAAACAATAGCCTTTCCTTCCTCGAGCTTTTGTTCACTCCCCTCTCTCTCAGAGCTCCTATTTCCAACAGTGCACAGAACCCTGCCCTTCCCTCAGCATGCCATGCAATACAACTGCAGTGCTGGGGCTCGTGTGCTTTCTTATGACCACAGACCACCATGTGACTCCTTTAAAGCAGATGGAATCACTGCCCCTAGCCCCTCCAAAGACTCTTTCACTTTGGGACATTGGTGAATGTTTCATTATGGCTCTGAGATACTACTTCATCAACTATATTGTCCCTGCTAAAATTGTGGCTCTTGTGATTTGCCTACATGTAAAAAGAGTGTCTAGCATTGTGTTAATTAACTGACACCCATGATATTCAGCAATGTTTGACATTTATTTTGTCCCTACAGGTCAAATATGCCTGATATCTACATCCACGGCATAAAACTCAACCTCATCTCTGCACTAACATATTCAACCTTAACCCTAAATAAAATGCAAAGTGTTTGTTCTTCAGAGAACTGTTGAAAATGTGATGAATTTGAGGTATGTGAAATACTTGGGATAAAAAAATGTAATTTCTCCTAATATCATGCAGTAGTCCTTTAAATCTCTAAGGCATTTCATTACATGATCATCCATCTACCACTTTTCAAAGTTTGTCTTGAAATAGCAACTATCCCTCTCTGTCCCCTATCTAAATTTTCAGCTTTCTTCAAGTATCATATTTTGTTCTGTGTGGCTCTAGAGGTAGAACCCAGGGCCTCACACAGGCTGGGTAAATGCTCTCCAACACTAGGCTACTTCTTCAGCCCAGGAATCATGTGGACATCATTGTTTTGTTAACAGGTATTTATACACAGTCACTAATAATAAGTAAACTATACAGATGACCAGGTTTTAAATCTCCCTTCTTCCTAGTCACTTGCTGCACTGTAGATACAGAAAAATCAAGAATAAAAAGGAACCCACTGACTTAGCTAAATGGAGAATAGTTATCTAGCACATACAAGGCCCTGGATCCAATACCCAGGACCATAAAATAAAAAAAAAAAGAATAAAGAATGAAATATGATACTAATATAGTTAAAAACCAAAGTTTATAAAATTTATTTAGTATTCATCTCACTATAAAATAAGTACAATATGAATAGTCAAAATATACCAAGCTTTATAGTAAGTTGGCTTTTTATTTTTTATTTTATTTTTTACATTTTCAACATCAAACAAACTGCTTAGGATTTCTTTTTTATTTTATCTAAAAGAGTTGTCATTAGAAGCATATCTTTAAAACTGACATACTGCAGAACTTGTTCTTTAGCTTGAAGTACCTGTCTGATCATGGTGCACAGTGTCCCACGAAGAGGTGGATTGTAGCTTGCAGGGCCTGGACCATCTGAAGCAAGCTTCGTAAACCGCTTCTCTCGGTTTTGCAGACTACGGCATCCTTTTATTTTATACTAAATTATAGGTTAAAAATTATGAAGTAGTTCAAGAATTATTTTATGATTCTTATTTTATAAATATAAAATATTAGCAAAGTTTTAAAATGGGACCTGAGAAAGTTGACTGAAAACATGTTCCTCTAAAAGGGGATACTGAGATAATTGTAGTTATCAGTTTTGACTGTAAGCTCAGACCAATTTTTACTGTACTTTGGAGCATTCTAAGGTAGCACAATAAAGGAATCAAAGACTGGCATTTCCAACCTCCCAAGGAGGGTTAAAATAGACTGTGTTGCTTGTGAACTGAATTTTCAGAATATTTAAGTAGAAAGTCTGGCCTTCTGTGCTGGCTACTTTTATTTTAACCTGACAAAAGTTAGTCACTGAAAAGAGAGAACCTCAACTGAGAAAATGCCTCCATAAGAAATGGCTGCGGACATTGGACATCATCTATTGGACATTTTCTTAATTAGTGATTAATGTGGGAGGGCCCAGCCCATGGTGTGTGTATATTGGAAGGGGGTCACCGGAAGGGCAGTGGCCCTGATTCTATAAGAAAATAGGCAGAGCAAGCCAAGGGTAACATGGCTTACTGGATCACAGCTTTCTGCTCATCTTTGTCTTAAGAACTGTTAATTAGCAGAACACACTGGAAGGAATCTTCCACGGCTCATCATACTACAAATCTGGGTTCTCCGGAACCAAAAAAAAAAAAAAAAAAAAATTCACCAACAGACTAATGGCAAATTCATTCCAATAAAATTCCAAGTTATAATATTATATCCATTGTAAGAAAACACTGCAGTATCTTCAGAGTCCGCATTATTCCTGAGCATTACTGGGGCCATTTAAGTCACTTTGGTCACAGAGCTATGAGGCCATACAAAAGCGGGAAACAAATGAGACATGGCGATGCTGCAGCCTTAGAGTACAGCATGAAAAGCGCATCGCTGCTGCCTACACAGCTTGACCATTTGTGCAATTTTCAGACTCAAAATTCATGCAGGGGTCTGATCCTGTCACTCCTGTGGACCGCTGAAACACACACCCATGTTTTCTATCATAGTGATGAAGAATATATAAGCCATCAACATCAAATGCATTTACTTTCCATTATTTGAATTATAAAAATGCAGGTTTAAAAGAGAAAGATATGAGGGGAACATAAAATACCAACAAATGGCACTTTACATTATTAAAACAAGAAATATGGGTTGGTTTGTATTGTTTAGTTTTGATGGTTTGAATAGTTTTTTTTAGCCTAAGATTAGACTTGAATATAGAATGCTTGGGTTATAAATGTGTGCTACTGTTAAGCCAGGGTTAGCCTTGAACTTGCTGTATGGGTGTTATAAATGTGTGCATCTTATTAATAAAACATGGTTTTCATTAACTCAGTCAATCATAACATCATAAACACACCTGTGCTTCTGATACATTGTAGTGTGCTGGACCTGGAACAGCTTTTCCAGTATCCTCGGCAACAGCATAAGCACTTTTTCTGGAACTCAAAGAAAGAAATGGTGCATAGCCACCTAAAACAAAAAATCACCACTGACACACAGTATTAGATCAGAAAGATTTCTGAGAAAATATACTCAGGATATATACAATCATTTAGTACTCTCAGGGTTAAGACTATATTTTGAGAATTAATAGGTATTCATACAAATTATAATATTTTTAATTGTCATGTAGGATCACAATTTTTAATATCCACTACAGGAATGAACTATAAGACACTACAGGAATGAACATATTGAACAACAGGAAAAAATACAATTTTCATTTCTTGTGTATGTGTGTGTGAATCACCCATCTGTGTGCACGTGTGTCCAGGTATACAGGTTTGTACATAAGTACATGGAAGCCAGAGGTCAGTATCAGGTGTCTTCTTCCACCACTTTCTAGCTTACTTTTGGAGGCAGAGTCTCTCACTGATCCTGGAAATTTCCAAAGGTTGACTAGACTAGCTTGACAGTGAATTCATCATCCCATTCCCCGGCCCCACCCTAGTCTTGCACTGGGGTTACAGAACCACACCACTGTGGTTGATTGTGGGTGGCCCTTGGGATACAAACTCAGATTCTGATGCTTGTGCAGCAAGCACCTTAGCCATTGTGCCATTTTGCCAGTCTTCTTCTCTTCTAATCATATGTGACCTTGCTGATAAAACACTTTATCTACAGAGACCCATGCTTTGTAATTGTAAATAGCAAATATTGTCTTTTTGAAAATATACATATAAAGTTATAGACAGTGCTAAAGATGCATCTCAATGGTAGTACACCCATCTAGGATGCACAAGGCCCTGGGTTCAATCCCATCAAAAAAATTAGAGAAACAACCAAGATGCAGAGAATTTAAACCAAATGGACACAGGTTATTGATAGTGCTTTGTCACAGAGTTAGTGCTCAGCAAATATTTGCTGGTTGTCTAATAAACTTCATTGTAACAAGCAATCACAGTATTACACAAATTTGCATAGCCTGATAGGGAAAATATCCCCTTATTCATACTATTGATGTTAGAGTACATAGAAAGTTTGTGTGGTTTAAAACTAGATATATAGAAGAAATGGACAATAGAAAAGAAATCTGGCATTAAAATCCTCATTGAAATTTTCCACAATTAATAACACAGGCTCTTCTGTTAATGAGCTGGGGCACTCATGGCGTTATGAGTACAAGAAAAAAAACCCAAGGAAAAGAAAACAGTTGTAATGACAATTTACATACACAAAGTTCTCTTCTAGTTTTGCACTAATGTTTACATGTTTCTCAACATTTCCAACTGTCCTAGTTTTCTCCAAAACATGGGACTGAATGTGCTAAAACTAGAATAGTTGTGGTTCCACACAACCAAGATGATGTAACATCTTATCACCATGTTCTGAAAGTCAACAATAAAGAATAACTAGTATTCTATATTACACATTTAGTTGGTCATTCAAAAATACTGAATATTCTGTTATGTATACTGTAAGTCCAAATGAAAATGAAGGTATAGTAGTAAGACAAAAACATAGTTTCAAGTGATGGAGAAATGGGTAAACAAACAATTATATTACTATCTGTGCTGCCAATAACTAAGGTACAAAATATACTAGAGGGTTCTAAGAAATTCACATTAGTGGAGTTTGATTTGGGGTATACAGATAAACTGGCATATGAACAGCCAACTTCACATGATACATCAAACTGACAGAAAGGAGAAAAAACATAAGAGGAGAAAAGATTTGAAAGGAATTATTCAGTTTGAGATATATTGAGTTTGATGTGCCAATAGCAAAAGATAAATCAAACTGGCACAAAGCAATAAACGTCCATTTAGAAAAAGATGTCCAGTATGGGATGAAAAGACAAGTTATGTAGCCACAAGGACAACCACTAAGCAAAGGACATTCTTCACATATAGAAATTACATAAACAATAATTTTGTAAACCTACATATCAACTGGACTCTTTGATATGGATTTTCTATATTCTGACTAGCTAGGAAAATAAAATCATTCTTGTTGGCAAACACACACATAGGTCCATCGATAGAACCACAGTCTCCCTCTACCTTGCTCTGGTGGTGGATAAACCTTCCCTTTCAAAGAGGAAATCTACAAAAGAAAATATTTAGATGCTGTCCAACTTGATAGCTAATATATAATTTAAATAGACAATTAACATAGAGCTGATGTGGGATGCTATTTACTTTGTAAGTGCATTTTAAAAAGCAATGAAATATTCCTAATGCCATACCAGGATAGACACATATTTTAAATGAACGTTTTCTCATGATAGATGGTAGGTAGCTGCCTTTAGACTAGAATAGCCGTCTGCAGGGAAATTTTGCTTCCCTCTCAGATTAGTTGTAAGAAAACAAGGCACAGCTCTTGCTTTCTGTGAAATTTGAGCATCCATTCTCTTAACCACTCATAAAACCACAGCAGCTAAGTACTGGTCCATTCAGATTATAAATCCTAAACAGGTTATTCCTGATCAAATGATGAAAACCAATGCAACCAATTAAGATATTAAGTAGAATTTCTTGAGGAATATGTGGAGTTAGTATACTGAACATCTAGCCAAGCAAAATAAAAAAGGGGGGGGAGATTAAAAAAAAAGATGTTGAGAAAATCTTCACCTAATGCTACAAAACCTGTTGCTCTGGCAAGACCTGCTGTAACAATTAAGTTATACCAAGTCCCAACACCTACCTTCCCACATCAGACTCTGAGCATATATTTGATGTTTCATTTAAATAAGTATGTACATATCTGCATGGCCCAGTACCTAATATACAGATGCTTGAAGTAGCATGGTAGCTGCTTAAAGATTGTCTTGCCAAAAAATCTAGCAAAGAAATGGACAGAAACACCTGTTCCATCAATTACAAATATGCTGTCCTGAGTAGCACAACCCCCCCCCCAAAAAAAAACCCTCTCCTCAGAGTTCCCAAGCACAGAATTTCTTAATTTATCTTAAATATAATCCTTTAAGTTAGTATAGGGGGCTTTTTTTGTTTTTGTTGTTATTTTGTTTGTTGTTGTTGTGTGTACATATGTAGAAGACAGAAGACAACTTATGACAGTCAGTTATCAAACTCAAGTCACCAAGCTTGGCAGTAGGTGCCTTTACCCATTGAGCCATCTCAATAAAGTCACAGGAAATTGTAATGTTGTTTGTTAATTTATACTTTACTACAAGAGTTTTTCATTGAGAACTCTGTGTTATTGGATAGAAAACTAAGAATGGAGTAAATATCACGATTACTGATCTGAAACAGTTCACAGTTTAGTAGGACTTTCATATATATTAACAGTAATTATGGAATCAAACTGCTACCCAAAAGAAGTCACTGTAAGTCAGAGGGGGGAAAGTAAGAACTTTATCACAGTGAAATATCAAGAATAAAGAGGGACAAGCCAGGTGAAGGAGGAACACAGAACATACTGGGCACATGTACTAGCAGGTGCCACGGCCCAAAGGTGACACAATGGTCTTAAGAAAATTACCAAGTTCGAATGGCTGACCTGTAGTCAAGTAGAGAAGCAATGCACAGTGTTTGAAGAGATCGGATTAAGTGTTATGCCAGACCAAAGATGAGCACATAAAGAATTCTATTGCCATTGAAGAGGTCAGATTTTTAACACTGCTGTTACAAAAGTATGTTTTGTTTTTCAAATAGTGTATATTTTTTTAAAAGATGAATCTATCCACAAGATGAAAGGTTGAATTAAATACTGAAACAGAAGCAACATGTTAGTGATTTAATTGAGAAAAAAATAAGGGCTTGTATTAAGTTGGGTAGTTATGAAGAGAGGGAAAGAATTTCTGAGTGATTGTGAAGATAGTGTCAACCAATAGTCTTAAAAGGCCAAGAGAAACAGCCAGGTAAACCAAACTCTCTGAATGTGGGTGCCAGTTAGGAGGCCTGGGCAGTCTGTGGAACCAGTATTTATCCCTAATGCACAAATGGACTTCAGGAGCCCATTCTCTGGGGAGGGATACTATTGCAGCCCAGATAAACAGAGGAGGGCCTAGGCCCTCCCCCCAAATGATGTGACAGACTTTGATGACCCCCATAGAAGGCCTCACCGTCCTTGTGGAGGGGGGTAGGTTGGGGGTGTTAGTAGGGGGCATGGGAGGAGGGGAGGGAGAGGGAATGGGGCTGGGGGGTTGATATGTAAAATGATTGTTTCTAAATTTAAAAAAAGGAAGCTAGAGTTCTAAAGCTTAGACCAGGCAGAGATGGTGATGAAGGTGATGGACAATAGTGCAGACGTTAAGACAAGAGAAAACTTCTCTTGGAGAAAGAAGCCATATCTATCTCTATAAAGATTTTCATTTGGGAGTAACTGAATATAAATAGTACTTGAAGTAATGGATATGAATAAGAAAGTGCTCATTTTGACAGCACATATTCTAAAATTGGAACAATACAGAGAAAATTAGCACAGCCACTTGGAAAGGATGACATGCAAATTCTAAAGTGTTTCATATTTTCACACTGACCTTGCTGCTGGGCCCCGGATAGCCACCACTTGGCACATAATGACCTGCAACTATTTTTTTTTTTTGACCTGCAACTATTGAATAAAGCATTTGTGTTGTTTAAAAAAAAAAAAAAAGTACAATGAGCAAAGCAACAAGAAAAAGATGGAAAGTACAGTATCTTTCAAAAGTATGCATGATTGGTAGGAAAGAAAAAAAATGATTCCTTGGTTCAGCACAATGTTAAGAACCATTGGTACTTAACAGCCAGCAGGAACAGGAACCCAGAGAAAGCAACAAAGGGTCTGCTGTACCAAAATAAAAGCTATAAAAGCATCACAGTTGTGCCTATTGTGGGTAAATAAATACTAAGATGTTGGGGAATCAATGCTTACAACAGCTCAACTGTATTTATTTTACATAAATGTTGAGGACAGATTGAAAAAAAGGTGGTAAAATTTGAGAGCTAAAATATTGATGACAAATTTTACCATGTCCAGAGAAACTTAAACCAACCATAATCTGAGCAGGGATGTAAATAAAATACTTACTCCGGGACTTAAAAAAAAAAAAGGCACTTTGTATCTATTGAAAATGCAGGTTTACAAAAGATAACAGTATAATTTGGATGGTATTAAACTTTTAAAAATCAGAACTTTAAAAGCAGAAGGCAAACTAGAAATACTTATTACATGTTGAGCCTAATTCACGAGCTTTAAAATAATTAAAAGAAAAAGGGAATAACTACTTATGAGTCCCTAGGCCATCTCTCAAGAATATAACTTTTCGCAGAACGTAGAAAGAGGATCTCAGTGAGAATGAAGCCAGGGAAGGTCAGATAATTTCACTGTCTGGGGGGGGAGTGGTGGAGGGGGGAGAATGGGACTATCTGTAAGTGATGATACCAACGAGAGATGTGGACAGTTACATCGCAGTAAATAAATTTGATTAAGGTGTGTGACAACCCTAAGACTACACAGGGCAGAGGCGACAAGTATGCAAGACTTGGATTTCACATAGTCAGCTGAGCCAAGCAATCAAAACCCTGGCTCTAGCATGCTCTCGGCCTACTTCATGTTTGGTGACATGTTTGGTTTCACGTCTGAAGCTGCTCCTTGGGGCCGCGTGTTTCACTCCTGAGGGCGAGCCGGCCTTGGACCTCTTACCTGTGGCCCGCTGCTTAGGGAAGAGCACCTGGTAGGACCCGGGCCCCACGTGCTCCTCGGTGCTGCCGCCCTCGGCCCTCCTGAGCCAGCGGGGAGCACGATCGTACATCGTGACGGGGGCCGGGGCCAGAGGCGGGCGCCCGGCGGCGCGGCGCGGCGCGCGGCGCGCCCGGGGCCGGGGGGGGGGGCG